AAGAACTTTCACACATGATACAATAGCCCTTAACTCCTATTATCCCTGGAAAATTAAAACAGTGTTTTAAAACAGGTTAAACACTTAGCAGGACTGCTGAACGGCCATTTTCCCTTTCTGCTCTGCTCTGTCCAAACTACTTCCTCAAGGTCCCTATCTCTTTGCAAGCTAGTACCTTGCACTCCTGTTCATGTTCATCTTCTCCAAGAAGGGTATATTTGTGAAAGACTCTGCCTGCTGCCAGTCAGCTTCAACTGAGACACCCAACAACTCCCAATGTCCTGAGGAAGCCACTCCCCCAAATCCTTCTCTCCCAATTGCTGTCTAGACACCTGTGCTCAAGGAAAGACATACAAGAAGAGGCAATTAGGAGCCCAGGCTTACCTACACAGTAAAGTATTCACAACAACCAGTAACTGATTTTTTTGGGGAGGGGAGGGGAGCCTTGAAGACTGTGCACATGCTCAACAAATAGGAAAATAAAGCATAGTGGGAAAACTGAATCAAGAGGATCCTGTCATTGCCTTCATAAGGTCATCCTTTCCACCTTTCCCCAAATCTAGATCCACCTGGGATTAGCTATAGCACCTGGAGGTGTTAGCCATCATTTCTTGCTGGCAGATATTGGGATTCTAGATTATTGATTCAGCAATATAAATGCTTTCACTTGGATTCAATTGGAGATCAAATTAAAATTATGGTTCACAGGGTTGCTGCTCATACAATAAATTTCACTGCTTAGAGTTTAGAGTGGGGTATAGTTGTGGCTGCCTTAATATTAATAATACAAGATTTTGGAATTATTTTATTGCTATAAAAGAAGCTATAATGGTATAACATTGGACACATCTTTTGTATCCACTTGGTTCGTAGGTTTAAAAAAAATTTTATCTCCTTTCTCTGTGCTGCCACCAGCACAATCTTAGGGTGTATGGGGTGTTCAGGGAGGACCAGCATCTGTGCTGTGAGGGCTTGCCCTTTTCAGGGCTGCTCATTCACTTTTGGGGTCCACCTATCACCCAACTATCACCTGTGGATCCAGGAAGCTATAGCATACACTGTGGCTGCACCTCAGTAAAACCGTTTTGCCAGACAGGCTAAACAAGGTTTGTTTTTTTGGTGAGGCGATCAGGGTTAAGTGACTTGCCCAGGGTCATACGGCTAGTAAGTATCAAGTGTCTGAGGTCATATTTGAACTCAGGTCTTCCTAACTCCAAGGCTGGAGCTTTATCCACTGCACCATCTAGCTGCCCCAAGGCCGAACAAGGTTGAGGGGAACCCACCGTCCTCAAACCTGTCAGTGAGTTAGGGGAACGTCTACCCAAGCATGTGAAGACTTCTCCTGGAGGAATGGGCAGACAAGAACATTTTGTTCCAATGGCCATGAAGGGGGCTGAAGCAGGTGCTTAGAGCAAAGCTGCTAAGGTCATCCACTGCATCCCAGGCCATCATCAGTCCTCTTGACTTTTGTCCTGCCACTGGACTTCGATGAGTCAGGAAGAGAGAGTGAGGCTGATGACTGTGTACAGCTCTGTCTCACTTCAATCCAATTCACCTCCAGTGCAGGGTAAACAACAGCACACCCTTTCATTCCTATTACATATGACCTTCTATTCATAATGCACTTCAAAGCAAACACCAGATGATAGTTAACATTCCCCAAAATAAAACAATGATGTTGTGAGATTTCATACAGGAAGGGAATATGTGGGAGCTTACAGAAAAATGGTGAGGGATTACTTGAGGCAGCAATGGTAGTAATTAATAATCCTTCCCTTTTAGAGACAAGGAAACTTTCCCCAGTGAGTGGTTAGGTCCGTCCAAGATCCTGATGCTGGTAACAAGAGAACTGGGATCTGAACCCAGATCTTCCCTCTTCAAATTGAGTTCCCCATTGCCTGAAGTATGCCTTGCGTGGCTGGTAATTGTTAGGGCCCCATTCCAATGGCATTCTTCAGATTCCAAGTCTATAGATCCTTTCACTCTATGGCTATAACAACTGACATTTATATAGGCTTGTAAAGTTTGCAAAGGGCTCAACACACATTATCTCATCCCATCCAGTCATCCACCAGGAAATCAGGGCCTCCCCAGAGCTCGCATCTTGCCGTGCCCCACTGTTTGCCTCTAATGATTTCAGCTCTTGTTCCATGATTCCTTCTTTGATCACCAATTCCCTAAATGTGTTGTATCCCTCCATCAGGATGGAGGCTTCATTTTGTATCCTCTCTCTCCCACCCCCACCTCAGAGGAAGGAAGGAAATAAGCATTTTTCTTTTTTTTTATTAATTTATTTTGATTTATCAACAATCACTTCCATAAGCTTTTGAGTTTTAAATTTTTCTCCCCCTCCCTCCCCACCTCCCTCCCATAGACAGCATACAATCTGATATAGGCTGTACATATACATTCCTATTAAACATATTTTCACATTAGTGATGTTGTAAAGAAGAATTAGAACCAATAGGAAGAACCACAAGAAAGAGAAAACAAAACTCAACAGAAGAAAAAAATAGCAGATAGTATGCTTCGATCTGCATTCAAACTCCATAGTTCTTTCTTTGGATATGGATAGCATTTTCCATCATGAGGCCTTTGGGGATGTCTTAGATCCTTGCATTGCTGAGAAGGGTTAAGTCTATCAATATTAGTCATTACACAATGTGGTTGTTACTGTGTACAACGTTCTCCTGGTTCTGCTCAGTTCACTCAGCATCAGTCCATGCAAGTCTTTCCAGGTTTTTCTGAAGTCTTCCTGCTCATCATTTCTTATAGTATTCCATTACATTCACGTACCACACCTTGTTCAGCCATTCCCCAAGTGATGGACATCCTCTCAATTTCCAATTCTTTGCCACCACAAAAACAGCTGCTATAAATATTTTTGCACATGTGGGTCCTTTTCCCATTTGTATGATCTCTTTGGGATACAGCTCTAGAAGTGCTATTGCTGGGTCAAAGGGTATGCACATTTTTATAGCCCTTTGGGCATAGTTCCAAATTGCTCTCCAAAATGGTTGAACATTTCACAACTCCACCAACAATGCATTAGTGTTCCAATTTTCCCACATCTTCTCCAACATTTATCATTTTCTTGTTTTGTCATGTTGGCCAATCTGATAGGTGTGATGTGGTACCTCAGAGTTGTTTTGATTTGCATTTCTCTAATCAATAGTGATTTAGAGCATTTTTTCATATGACTACAGATAACTTTAATTTTTTCATCTGAGAACTGTCTGTTCATATCCTTTGATCATTTATCAATTGGGGAATGACTTGTATTCTTATAAATTTGACTTAATTCTCTATATATTTTAGAAAAGAGGCCTTTATCAGAGACAGAAAGAAGCGTTTATTAAACATGACACTTTATAAGTATTCTCTCAGTGACCTGGGGAGGTAGGTGTTGTTATTTTGCCCATTTTACAGATGAGGAAACTGAGGCAAACAGGTGAAAGTGACATCCAGGGACATACAACTAGCAAGTGTCTGAGGCTGAATTTGAACTCAGGTCTTCTTGGTTCCAGACCTGGCACTTTATCTACTGTTGTCACCTGGCTACCTCAGGAAAATTGAGGCTTACCCAGGATCAGGATCATGCAAACGATTTGAATCCAGAACTTTCGTGACTTCAAATTCAACTTACTTTCCAATATTCTACTATTCCCAAACTCATTTCTGGTTCTAAATCCTAGGTCATTTTACCTCTCCGGTGCTCAGTTTCCTTAAAAAAATATTGTGGGGGAGGTGTTTCATAATCAATAATCAATCAATCAATAAACATTTATTTAGCACCTACTGTGTTGTGTGTCAAGCACTGTGCCAAACACTGGAGATGCAACAAGAAGCAAATGATAGTCTCTGCCCTCAAAGGCCTTACAATCTAATGGATTAAGGCATTGTCGGAATGGGAGTAAGTATAAATATAATATTTATTATATATACACATATTATACATAGAGCACAAATAGGGAGGCAGCATGGGTTAGGAGCTAGAGAGCCAGTTTTAGAGTCAGGAAAACCTAGAGTCAAGGTTTGTCTTTGATACATATTGGCTGTGTGACCCTGGGTAAGTCATTGAACCTCTCAGGGTACCCAGGTAACTAAGACTATAAATTGTAGAGCAGTAGCCTATTGGAATTGGAAGAGAGAGTTTCCTTACCAGTGATATCATAGGTCTGGTTAAATATAACCTAATATCACATAAGTCTTGATTTATGACTCTAGGTCCAACACTCTCTCCACTAATAATAAGCATTTATTAAGCACCTACTGTGTGCCAGGTACTGGGGATACAAAGAAAGGCATATAATATAATATAAAACATAATAAATATAATATTTAACATACATAATATAAAATATACTATATAATGCAATATAATGTAACATAACATAATGTGACATATAATAATATATATTATCTAATAACATTATAATAATATATTATAAAAATGTAATATAATAGATCTGCCAATAATAGCTAGCATTTATTTAGTTCTTTCACGCTTGCAAAGCACCTTACAAATATTATCTCATTTAATATATGATATAACAATATAATATACTGGAACATAATGTGATGCAATATATTTGTACATATCTATATATACATAACAGCAATACAACTATAATTATTGTGAGACAAAGACACTGGGGGGAGGGGATGCAAGGAGGGGAGACCGGCAGACAAGGCCCAGCCTAATTTGCCAAGAGGAAGGGCCTTGCTCCTCCCTTTCCCAGGTCCCCTCTGGACCCCACCAATCCATCTAGCTCAATCCACGCAAGCCCCTCCATCACCCATCTAGGGGCCCCTTTAAGGAAGGGGCGGGGCCTAGATCTTTCCCCACCCCCGCCGCTCCGCTGGTTGGCTGCCGATGACATCACTGGGCGGGGCGGCGAGGGGGCCAGGGGAGCGCTTAGGGCGGGCTCGGACCGGCGGGAGGGGGAGGGCGGACGGAGAGTTAGTCTGCTCCGGACGTCACGGCCCCGGGGCTGAAGATGGCGGCGGCGGCGGTGGCGGGGCCGGCGATCCCGGGGCGGCTGCAGCCCCAGCCCGAGCCCCAGCCCCCGGCCCCGGCGGGCGGAAGCCGCTGCTCGCTGCTGGTCATCGTGGGCGGCGAGTGCGCCCGGCCGGGCCTGCTCCGCCCGGTGCTGGCCCAGCTGGAGAGAGGTGAGCCCGGCCCAGCTCGGCCAGGCTGCGTCCGTTGGGCGCTTGGAGATCCTCCTCCTGGGGGAGGGGGGAGTGCGCTTGGAGACCTTCCTCTTGGGGGGCTGCGCCTGGAGACCCCCCCTCCCGGGAGGGGGATGCGCCTGGAGATCCTCCTCCCGGGAGGGGGATGCGCCTGGAGACCCCCCTCCTGGGGGATTGCGCTGAGAGACCCCCTTCCTGGGCGGGGCGCGCCTGGAGATTCTCCTTTTGTGGGGTTGCGCTTGGAGATCCTCCTCTTGGGGGTGGGGTGCGCTTGGAGGTCTTCTTAGGCACACTTGGAAATCCTCCTCCTGGGGGTTTGCTCTAGGAGACCCTCCTCGGGGAATGCGTTTGGAAATCCTCCTCCTGGAGGTCTCGCTTGGAGATCCTCGTGGGCACGCTTGGAGATACGGGGGCGGGGCGCGGGGGGGTGGGGTGCTCCGTGCGCTTGGAGATCCCCTGGGGCGCTCTTGAAGATCACCCGGGGGCACTCCTCCCACCTCCCCTTCCTGGCCCCCGGGGCCCCTAAGGAGCGAAGGAGGGGTCGGCTGGGCTGGGCCGGGCTGGGCCTGGCCGGGATTTTCCCGACTGCTCCAGCCCGCCTGGGCCGCCGGGGGAGGAAGGAGGCCGTAGTTCCGTTATTTGGGAGGAGAGTGGGAGGGACGTGCCTTGGGATGGAGGAATTGGGAAAGCTGGGTCTCAAAACTTAACTTCTCCTCGGTGAGCCTCAGTTTCCCCTTCTCACCTCTGACATTCTCAACAGAGAAGCAACATGGCATTACTTGGGAGCAGAGGCAGTTTCTTGTCTCTGTATTCTCAATGCTTAGCACAATGCATGGCACATTATAGGTGCTTAAAAGTTTGTTGTTAGTGGATAGAATGCTGCACCTAGCGACTCCTATGTACCAGGCACTGTGTTTAAAAAACAAAACAAAACAAAAAAACCACCAGTCTTTGTTCTCATGGAGTGTTCATAGTTAGACAAGGATTCAATCCTTGGGATTTGGCTCCTTGGGACAGAGCTTAAAGGGCATTGCATTCACCTCCCTCACTTTGCAGAGGTGGACCCCCATCATTGGGCACTTAATAGCCTTGTGACCGAGGGCAAATCACTCAACAACTCTGAGTCAGAGCTTGCCCATCTGTAAGATGGGCATGGGTCTGCCCCAGACTAGGTGCTTTGGTCTCTGGACCTGTCTCAGCTCCCAGATGGGGAGAATAGTCCCAGCCTGGCCTCCCTCCCGGAGCCCAGGTGAGTAGCAGGTGAAAGAGTGAATGAGAAGGTGCTTCATCAGCTGGAAAGCGCCATAGGAATACTGTTTTATGGAAGGAGGTATTTATGCCCTCCCCAGATTGGTGGGGGAAAGAGTCCTCTGGCCCTGACCCTCCACAAATGAGATAATATCAGGAAAGTTTTTAGCACAGTGCCTGGCACACAGAAGATGCTTAGTAAATGCTTTTTCCCCTTCTGATGTCAAAACTAACTGACAAATTGTGGAGAAAGAAAAAACACAAAACAGACTGTGCAAAGCTCAGGGAGACCTGGGGTCAGTGCTTCTGTAGGGTGAGAGGAAAGCTTCCTTTGGTACTGGGGAAACCACACCTGAGAATCCAACCCCTGAGGCTCCCCACAGCACTAATTGCTGGGGTGGAGCTGGAGGAGGCCTGGTCCTGCCCTGCCTTGCCCTATGGGGGGTTTGGCACTGGCTCCCTCAGTGAGTCACAGCTGCAAGGTGGAAGGCAGCTGTAGATGCCGCTTGCAGGGTACAGAACAGCAGACCTGGAAGGGGCCTTAGAACAAACATAGTTTGTGCTAAGAGAGCCTTGGCCATATGTTTGCCACTGCCCCAGTGTACCTCATTATGCCCTGATCTTTGAGGGCCTGGGCAACACTGGTTTTCATTTTTGTATATCTCCAGTAGCCTGCGCAGTTCGTTGGACATAGTAGGGTCTTTAGAAATGTTCAGTGAATTAAATTGTCTGGGCTGGGAGGGTCCTTGGTCTGTAAGCATTTACTTTGTGCTTACCATATGCTGGGCACCATGCTGAGCTTGGTACTGGGTGTGCAGAGAAAGTCCTTGCTGTCAAGGAGCATACACTCTAATAAGTAAGACAAGTATCTCTTCATAAAAGCTATAAACAGAGTAGATGAAGGTGTTCATATGCTCCTGAAAGAATGTCAGAGTAGGAAGTCTTAGAACCCAGAATGTCAGAGCTGGGAGGGCCCTTAGAACCCAGAATGTCAGAGCTGGGATGGGCCTTAGAACCCAGAAGGTCAGAGCTAAGAAGGCCTTTAGAACCCAGAAGGAGGGTCATTAGAATCTGGAATGTCAGAGCTGAGAGGGCCCTTAGAACATAGGATGTCAAAGCTGGGAGGGCCCTTCGAACACAGGATGTCAGAGCTGAGAAGGCCCTCAGAACCCAGAATGTCAGTTCTGGGAAGGCCATGAACACATAGAATGTCTCCATTTTGATTGGGAACTGAGCCCTTTGCCCTCCTCTCTGTGTCCAGTGGTTGGGATCCCAGATCAGCAGTCTCCAGTCTATACTTTTCTGGGTAACAGAACCCAGCATCACCCCACCCTATCGCCACATGTTTGGTAGGGGAGGAAATGCAGCAATCATGTGGGTTCCCAGCTCAGGATCAGCAGGGCTCCTGCCTGCTGTATTAGGAGGAGACGGAACATGGATGGATACAAAGCCAGAAGCCTGGGGATGTAGGCTATTAGGATAGGCCTTCATCAGAGATTTCAAGAGTTTATAGGGATGTTCCAAGAATTGTGGATAAGAAGGTCTCAGATGCCCTTGTACTCCCCCTTCTACAGAATTATCAATACGGGATAGCTATCGATTTTTGTCTCCACACCTGATGATGTGATAATGTAACTTTGAGCAAGGCCCTCCTTTCTGGGCCTCCGTTTCTCTTCCTGTAAAATGAGATTGGATCAGCTGGATTGCTCCCAGCTCTGCCATTCTCTCTTTTTTAAATTAGGTTTTTATTGTTATCTTTTCGTTTTCTATCTCTTAACTTTCCCAATGTATTCCTCCCTCCCCCTCCCCCCTTATTCCCCACCCAGTCATATCTTTGTAAAGGGGCCTGGGGGATGGAGGGGTTAACCACAGTTTAGCAAAATTAACCAACTGATAGAGAAAGTCAGGCATTATCTGCAGTATTCCATGCCCCAAGTCCTCTGCAAAAAAGGGAGGTGCCTTGTCTGCTTCTCTCTCCTCTGGGGCCAAGGTTGGGCATTGTCATCTCTCAGCATTCATTTTCAAAAGTTTTGTTCTTTCCGTTTTTGTTGTTGTAGTTGTTGCATATTCCATTTTCCTGGCTCTGGTTGCTTCCGTGTTCTGTATTCACCTGCATCGTTTCTTCCAGCACAGTAATATTCCATCGCATTCATATACAGCAATTTATATAACTGTTCCCCAAGTGATGAGCATCTACTCTATTTCTCTGCTCCTACAGGAAAAAAAAAAGTCTGCTATAAATATTTTGTTGTGTCTGGGACCTTTCTTTGAATACATTGACCTCCTTGGGGTACATGCCTAGTAGTGGAATGTCTGGGTCAAAGGGTAGGGCCACTTTCTTACCGTGGCTTTCTTTGAATAATTACAGATTGCTTTCCACAATGGTTGGGCCAATTCATGTCTCCACCAGCAGTCATGAATATGCTGGTCTTTCCATCACTGGCTCTGCCATTCTGTGATTTAAGGGGCCCTTCCAGCTCTGATAGTCTTTGTCCAAAGGCGTCTACTTCCCCATCTCCAGCTCTGATGTTGCAGCTTTAAGGACTTCCTCAGCTACTTGGCCAAGAAGAGGATTTGAGGTTTTCTTGTGAAGAAAAAGGAAAAAGATATATTAGGATAGGAGGAAGCTGGGAATTTATCTTTCCGTGAGACTTATTCCTGAGACTCCTCCAAACTGGCCTCTTAGAGATGCTAAATAGGACATTCTATGAAGGGGGGCCGTAGTAACATTCTGTCTCCCTTCCACAATAGGGATCCGCTCATGGGATGTTGACCCAGGCATTTGTAACCTTGATGAGCAGCTAAAAATATTTGTGTCCCGTCACTCAGCTACATTCTCCAGCATCGTGAAAGGTAAGGGGGCTCTGGGATGATTCTGTGTGTGTGTGTGTGTGTGTGTGTGTGTGTGTGTGTGTGTGTTGGGGGCCATAAAGCCCCGACTTCCCTTCTGTTCAGGTTTCTTGCCCTATCCTCTTCTGTGCTGGGCTGTGAATACTTTAGTCTTGACTCTGGACTCTGATGGAGAGTAGAATCCATCTAACACATTCGGTTCTGAGCGCCACGTTTTAGGAAGGAGATGAATAATTTGGAGGTGATGCCAGAGAGGACAGCCAAGCTGGTTGAGGGCTTTCAGTCTCACAGGCTGTCTGCGAATTAGCTGAATGAACTGGGAGTGTTTAGCCCACGGGGCTGAAGGGCAGGCTCAGGGGGTACGTGTTGGCTGTCTTAAGGTATTTCAGAGTCTGTCTTTTGAAGGAAGAATTAGATGATCTGTTTAGGAGGAGCTGATGTAGGAAGAAACAGGACCAGAGAGGGTAAGGCATTTGGTAAGGTCACTCAAGTAGGAAGTGTCTGAGCTGGAATAACAAAGTCCCTGCAAATCATTTTAGGCAATGAGAGGGACCTCTTGGGTCAGGACGACGGCAGAGGAGTGTGCCCCTGGGGCCAGGCAGGTGGATGCAGTTGGGGACCCGGATGGTGATTTTCCTGGGAATGAAAAACATTGAACAGGGTTAGTTCTGTGTGGGGACCATGGGATCAACACCACCACCACAGTCATCATTACAATCAGAGGACCAGAGTTTGAGCCCATTTCTACTTGCTCATTGTGTAACTTGGAGCAAGTCACCCTCTCTGGGCCTCAGTTTTCTCATCTGTAAGTTGGGAATACTAACTGCCCTTTGCATGGTATTTTAACTTTTACAAAGTGCTTTGCACACAGCTTCTCCTTTGAGGGTAGTGATCCTGCATGACTTAGGTGCTCTGGGATTTATTACCTTCCCGTTCTCTAGGTTAGACTCCAAGAAACCCGGGGTCACAGACCTAGGAAGTGTCAGAAGAGGATTTGAACTCCAAGCCCAGGGCTCCCTCTCCCCACTGCCAGACTTCACATATAGCTATGAACACTGGTCAACCTCCATGTTTAGAAAAATGTGTGAGGGGGAGTGGCTAGAGAGAAGAAGTGGGGTGGTTATTAATATAATATGTGGATATTTAAATATTAAAAATATAAGTGTTGGCAATATTGTGGTAGGTCATAGAATTGGAAATGGAGAGTTAATGGAGCCTGAAACCCCTGAAACCTCACTGTGGGCGCTGAGGGCCCATGGCCTAACCTATCCCCTCACAGCGGCAGCAGCACTTAAGGTGGGACAAGGAAAAGAGAGCTGGGTGTGGAGTCCGGTCACAGGCCTGCTCTCTGGCCGTCCCCCACACCTAGAACCCTCTCCCTCCTCTGCTCTGACCACTGACCTCCCTGGCTTCCTTTAAGCCCCAACTACAGGAAGCCTTTTCCAACCCCTCTTCATTCCAGGCCTTCCCTCTGCTTGTCGTCTTCTATTTCTCCTGTCCATAGCTTGCCTTGTGCACATGTATTTGCTTGTTGCCTCCCCGGTTAGATTGTAAGCTCCTTGAGGGCAGGGGCTGTCTTTTACTTCTGTTTGTATCTCCAGTGCTTAGCACAATGCCTGGCACATAGTAGGTGCTTCATAAATATTTATCGATTGATTGCAGTGCTCTCCCTCTTCCCGTCTGCCCCTCAGAATCCTGAGCTCCCTGGCAGACTCTGTTTAGTCACTTCCTTCTACAGTACGCCTCGCCGAAGATGCCAGTGCCTTTCTCCCCAAGGTTATGTCCTCCCTGTTGTTTTGTTTGTTTTTTTTTTTAAATATACCCACGTGTGCATGATTGTGCCCTGGTTAGAATGCAAATTACTTGAGGATAGGAGGATTTCTGTGTTTTTTGCATTCTCGGAGCCTGGTACATCCTAGGCACCAAATCAATGCTTGGTGATTCATTGATTTATCCCTGTGTGACCTTGGGGCAGTCAGCAGGCTTCTGTAGGCCTCCTTTTCCTTGTGGGTAACATGACAGGGGTTGGATTAGAGGACCCCAGAGGTCCCTTACAGCTGGGATCCTGTCTCTGGGCCTCTGCTGGGAGCCACCAGAGAGATGCACAGAGAGGGAGGAAGGGAGGGAGCCCGAGAGGCAAGGTCTCAAGGGACCAGAGATGGAACTGATGTCAGATCTTTTTTCCTCCCTCTCCTCTGACTTCTCTACCAGCACCCGGGGGCTGGGACACCTGCCCCCCTCGGAACAGCCTGTCTCATCAGAATTGATGCCCCTCAGAGGGCCCTGAGGTGGGGTGGTACCTTGATTCCTGGCCCTGAAGGGCATCGAAGGGCAGCTGGTCTGGATGATGATGATGTAATTGAGCTTTCCAGGCCTCAGGTATTGGTCCCTGCTCTGATTCCAGAGAAGCTAGAGTGCCAGATCCCTGGGACCTGTGTGCTTTATGGGCTGGCTCTTAGCTCCCCTCCCTCCCTATCTGGAGTGGGTAGTAAAGGAGGGGGCAGAGTAGTTGCTGAGAGCCCCAGGAGTGTTTGCTGAGTGGGTGTCTGGCATGGACTTGTCCGTGGGAAGGGTAGAGGAAGCTGGCAGTTTGCCCCAGATTCCCAGTGACCAGACAGCAGACGGGACCCTGAGATTGACCACATGGATCATTAATGTAGACATTCCCCCCAGCCCATACCATTGCCCCTGCCCAATAAGGACGACCCCCAGGCCTTGATCCTATGGCCAGGTAGAAGCACAGAGAAACAGGCCTGCCCTGCCCTTCCTAGCCACTGGGAAGGAAGTGGCGTTGCTAGCATTGTCTTGTTGGAGTCCAGCTTCCTGTCCTGAATCTGCCGGCCAGCTGGCTGGGGGATGAAGCCAGCTTCAGTTTGAGGTGATGTTGGGGGAGGGGACAGAGATAACGGACCTGTCTTCCACCCCTCCCTCTCCCTTCAAGGGTTTGAGTCTCACCCTCCAACTAGCTAGACGTAAGTCACAGACATTCTGTGTCCTGAGGTCCCTCCTTCTCTTTGACATTATGTTCCAGGAGCCCTCCCAGCTCTGACGTTCTGTATTCTAAGGGCCCTCCCATTCCTGATATTCTGTGTTTTAAGGGCCCTCCCAGCTCTGACTGTCTAGGTTCTAATGGCCCTCCCAGCTCTGACGTTCTCTGTTCTGTGATTCCAGGTCAAAGGAGCCTCCACCACCGGGGAGAAGAGCTAGAAACTCTGGTGCTGCTGAACCCCTCGGACAAGTCCCTAGTTGATGAGGTGGGCACCTGGCGAGTGGGCTAGCCTCTATGAGTTACTGTTAGTATGAGGGGGGCTGGCCCTGGGAGGATTTGAAAGGAGAGGAAGGAGATGTCTGTTCTTGTTTGTCCCTGTAGCCTTCTCTCCCCACCCCCATTCCTAAGCCTTCTGGTCTTTCCATCAGTCAACCGTCAGGGAAGGATTTGTAAGTATTCTCTTTGTGCTTGGCTCCATGCTGAGCACTAGGGATACAAAGAAAGAATGGACCCTGCCCTCCCCAGGCTCCCAATCTAATAGGAGTGACAACATGCAAGAAAAAGAATTGTACATGCTGGACCTAGATGGTGTAAATGGACAGGAATTGTGGAAGTGAGGCAAGGGGGAGAGGAGAGGAGGAACCTGCCGTGTGCCAGGTTCCCTCCCAGCTCAGTCCCTTTGATACCATTCCCTTCCCTGGGTCGTCTGTCTGATCACCTCCACCTGTAGAGCATTGAATGGCAGACAGGGAAGAGTCGTGGCGTTTCGGAGGTGGGAGGGCCCTCCGAACATGGAGGGATCATAGGCTATGGATGGAGAGATGAGGATGGCGGGGCCTACTGGACATGTGCTGACTCGATTTCCCTCCCTGCCCTGGCCCCACCCTAGCTACGGAATCTGCTTCTGGAGCCTTCATACCATAAGCTGCTGGTGCTGGCTGGCCCGTATGTGGAAGAGACAGGGGAGCTCCTGCTGCAGACTGGTGGCTTCTCCCCCCGGCACTTTTTCCAGATCCTGACTGATAAAGAGGTGAGCTGGCCTTGGCTCTGGGCAGGGGATGGAGGAGGGAGGAGGAGGCTTCCCAGCTCTCTGCTCTTCCTTCCCTTCTCCTTCCCGTCCTCCCCTTTAGTTCTGACCAGAGGGTCACTGGCAAGGGGCTGCTGTGGAGAAAGACCAGAGGGGGCCGTGTCGATCCCCCCAGGTGGTATTGATATCTTTCCAAGGCTCTAGGTTCCTGTATCCTCCTGAGAGCCTGGGGAGAAGGGAGGGACAGGGCCTTGGATAGAAGGGCTGGGGCTGAGGGATGAGATAATTAGACAGTCAGACAGAACCTCCCAGTCGAGGGTTGGGGGAGGCGGGGATGGCAGGTTCAGGAAGAAGGGGAGAGGGAAGAGAGGCAGGATCTCATGGGAGTGGGGAGCACGGGCCAGTAGGGCCCTTCCTTAATATTGGATTCCTGTGTACTGGAATTCCTTAATCAGAACATGTCCTGGCCTCTTCTGGCCCTTGGTTAGGTCGGGAGCTTGAGGACTTATCCCCCAGCGGATGGGTGAGTAGTAGATAGATAGAGAGTACGAGGCTTGGAGGATGGGGAGCCGGGTCCTGATGGCCACTTTCTGCTATGTGGTCTTGGGCTACTCATTTCCCTCTCTGACCTCAGTGACCTCCCTAGAATGTGGGCAGTGATTCTCATCCCGTCAGGGTTTGGTTAGCCCCAAAGTGGTCTGGCAGTGAGGGCTGTGGTTTTGGGGTGACCTGCCTGAGGTCCTTCAGTGAGAGAGGGGCAGAGTCAGGATTCAAATCCAGGGTTCCCACCTTGCTCCAGATGCAGCAAGGCCCTGGCAGAGGGTCTCAGCTCCTCCTGAATGCTGAATGCCTGGGCCCAGCCTCATACTTGCCTCTTCCCCCAGATTGAGGACCTCCGGAACTCTGCACCCTCTTCAGCCCTCCCAAGGCTCACCATCACCTGCCCTGACTTTGGGGAGTGGGCATACCCTGGGCTGGATGGCTCTGGCCTCCAGGACTTTGTTCAGCTGCAGCTGAACCCCCCTGGGCGCCGGCCGGAGTCAGAAGGGCTTCGTGAGTTCCTGGAGTACGTGGCTGAGTCCCTGGAGCCACCCTCCCCCTTCGACCTCCTGGAGCCCCCCGCGACAGCGGGATTCCTGAAGATCTCTCGGCCCTGCTGCTACGTCTTCCCCGGCGGCCTGGGTGACGCCGCCTTCTTTGCCGTCAACGGCTTTACCGTCCTGGTGAACGGCGGCTCGAGCGCCCGGTCCAGCTTTTGGAAGCTGGTGAGGCATCTGGACCGTGTGGACGCGGTGTTGGCGACCCGGGCCGACAGCCTGCCAGGCATCAACAGCTTGCTCCGGAGGAAGCTGGCGGAGCGGGATGAGGAGGCTGCAGGGGTGGCCGCGGGGGGCGGGCGAGGGAGTGAAGACTGGCTCCGCCACCTCATTTCCCCTGAGCTGGGCGTGGTCTTCCTCAACACCGGGGAGCGGCGCCCGGTGTGGGGGGATGATGAGGCTGGCTTGGCCCTGGGCTACCTGGAGCGGCTGGGCATCCCACCCACGCCCCTGTGCCGCGGCCCGGTGCCCTCCGAGCCCATGGTGTTGTTCCTGAAGATGGGAGTGGGCCGGCTGGACATGTATGTGCTCCATCCACCACGGGCTGGTACCGGCCGGGAGTCAGCCCTGCCAAGCCTGGCCGCGTCAGCCTGCACCCTGCTTGTCTGGCACCCCGCCAGCCCCACGGAGAAGATCGTGCGTGTTCTTTTCCCCGGCTGCACCCCGCAGAACCGGCTCCTGGAGGGGCTGGCCAAGCTGCAGCACCTGGCTTTTCTCCAACAGCCGGTGGTGACCCCCCAGGACCTGGAGGCCCCGGCACCGGGGCCGGGGCGGGCAGAAAGCAAGGAGAGCCTGCGCTCGGTCTCCAGGAGCAGCCTGGCTGACGGAGCCCGAACAGCGAGGGCAGACAGGAAGGAGGCCAAGCCAGCTACTGCGAGAGAACGGCCGCGGGGCCCCGCGGACGGACTTCCCAAGCTGGGCAAGGAGCGGAGCCTCCCGGCTAAGAAGGAGGGGATTCGAGGGGAGGCCCCAGTACGCAAGGAAGAGAAGAGGGTCAGCCGGAAAGAGGACGGGGCCCCCACGAGAGAGCCCGGGGCAGAGGGGAGAGTCAAGGCTGACCCCCTCAAGAAGGATCCCAGAGCCGAAGACAAGAAGGTGGGGGCCGCCAGGATTCCCGGCCGCCGGACGACTTCCACAGCAGCCGAGCAGCCTCTGCCCTCCCGACCTGGGAGCATACGGAGGAGTAACGTCCAGCCCACCCCCAAGGGTCCTGACAAGAGCCATGCCCGGGCAATCCTGAAGGATCCCGGAGCCTCCAAGTGGGGCAGCTCCAAAAGCAGGGAGATGTCGAGGACCCCCGGCCCAGGAGGTGACTGTGCCGGGGAAGGGGAGAGCCCATCCGTCTTCCGCTGCGGTGAGGGCTGTCCCTCGTCGGCCCCAGGCTCCCCATTGCCCCTGGCCAAGACACCCCCTGGGGAACAAAGCCTGGAGCTGGCCCTGGGGTCCACCCCACCTTTGGAGGGTCTGATGAACCACGTTGGGGACGCCGGTGAGGATGGAGGAGGCGGCGGCAGCTCGGAGGAGAAGACCCTGGAGCTGATGTCTCCTGCCAGCTCGGTGGCCCCCACGCCCTCCCCTGCCGGTCCCCGGAGGCCCCCCGAGGGCGCGGAAAGGCTGGCTCTGAGCCCCTTCCGTGAGGCAGGCCCGGACGTCTCGCCCACGGTGACGACACCCTCGCTGCCCGCAGAGGTGGGCTCCCCACACTCCACGGAGGTGGACGAGTCCTTGTCCGTCTCATTTGAGCAGGTGGTGCCCCCCGCAGTGGCAGCTGGTGATGTTGAACCAGGCAAGGTGGGGCTGAGCCTCCCACTGAGGGCGCCGGCCACGCGGGCACCACGTTCAGCCTCGCCCCACGACGTGGATCTGTGCCTGGTGTCCCCTTGTGAGTTTGAGCACCCCAAGTCAGCCCTATCCCCAGGTGGCCTGCCCAGCCCCCGGGACGTCTCCAACGACAGCAGCGCTCGCTCTCAGGAGCTGGCCCGCGGGCACCGGGGGAGTGGAGGGCACCCCGAGGAGACCCCGCCCACCTCGGTGAGCGAGTCACTGCCCACCCTCTCAGACTCGGACCCTCCACCCACGGCAGAAGATGGTCCCTCGCTGGCACCAGACTCGGATGAGGAGGACACGGAGAACTATGGCCCTGCCTGCGATCCCCTGCCTGCCCCAATGAAAGACCCACCCCCCCTGCCTGCCCAGCCAGGCATCTGCATGGTGGATCCTGAGACACTCCCCCCTGACCACCTCAAACGACGTGAAACTGCCAGCCGGGCCTCCTCTCGCAAGGCTCCCTCCCGGACGGGTCCTAGCCCTGGGTCTGCCAAGGCTGTCCCTGGGTCGGGTCCCAAGGCCAGGGGGCCTCTTAGCCACACCCTTAGCAGTACCAGAAGTGAACCCACAGACAGGGGTCCCCGACTGGGTGCTGATGCCAAGGGGAGCTTGACTGGGCGTGGTGGAGGCAGCAGCGGGGCCAAGCCAGGTGTCAGAGGTGCATCAGGTGAGTGCCTTCTCTTTGAGTTGGGGAGGAGGCCAGCATGAGAAAGAGGGCCCCCTTCCCCCCGGATGAGAATCCCCTTTAGAGAACAGGGGGCACTTGTTTCTGGAGCTACTGGGGGATCAGGGCTGGGCCAGGCTGTGGATGGGCCTAGGTCACTAACTGGGTCAGATTAGGAGCCGTGTGTCATAGCTGGGTTTAGCCTGGGAGCTGTGGGTGGCAGGGATAGTCTGTTGGCTGTCAAGGGGCAACTAGACCCTAAAGCTATGAGAGGAAAAGGTCCTGGAGGTGGTCCGGCCAGTGGCCTCTACTGTTCTGAGAGGGCAGAGGGGCCCGGGCTTGTGGCAGGAGCTTCGGGATTGCCCAGAGAGAGCTGGGAGGGGGCGTAGAAATGAGGGAGCTTCCAACAGCAGAGACCCGTCCCCCTGACCTTGCACTCCAATCCGGGGCCTGGGTTCAGTCGGCTTGGGGTTGACACAGGCTGGGGGAACCTGAAACCTGGGCTTCTCTGGTGATGCTGAGGCCCCAACTGCCCACAAGGCTCCCCACCCCTGCCCAGTCTTTACCTTCTCCATGGGGAATGTTGGTGCCCCTGGATGGGAGGGAGCAGGGAGCCACCAGTGAGTCGGGCTCGTGATGGACGGTTCTCTCTCTGCAGGGTCAACTCTGGGCCGAGCAGGCAGCTGTACCATCCCTCCGGGGCCCCCCATCTACCTGGACCTGGCTTACCTGCCGGGTGGGGCTAGTGCCCGCTCTGTAGATGAGGAGTTTTTCCGGAGAGTTCGAGCCCTCTGCTACGTCATCAGTGGCCACGACCAGGGCAAGGAAGAGGCCATGAGGGGCATCTTGGATGCGCTGCTGGCTGGGAAAGAGTGCTGGGAAGCGGACCTCCAGGTGAGCATGGGGCGGCTTTCTGGGCCTAGCCTTGGCCTAGGCATGTGAAGGGGGAGGCACTGTCTTCAGGGTGCTCGTGGGCCAGTGGTGGCGATGACAGTGATAACTCACATTTATTTCAAAACCCAAGGTAGGAGTTCTTTACCTGGGAACCACGAACTGTGTGTGTATGCCTACACACACACACACGTGTGCATATGCACATGACACACATGCCTATGTGTACACATACATGTGCATTACATGTCTGCGTGTGTAGCTGTGCACGTGTACGTCTGTATCTATTTCCTTTGAAGTTTTGTGTATTTTACTTTATGCCATAGTTCCTCATGGCAGATACAAGGACGGGGGCACAAAAGGCCCGAAACTTTGGTCTCTTCCGGCTCTAAATCTATGACTGAGAATTCCGGGCCTGGGCTCTCCTTTCCTGTGCCCACCAGATCTGTGTTGGCAAAAATAGCTAGAGAGAGATTGGGTGTGTGCAGTTCTGCGGAACACACTGACTGCATTGGGTAGTTAGAGGCAAGTGAGGGGGGCTTCCGGGAGGAGGGCTTTGAAGGACAGATGAGATTTGGGTGCAGGTTGACGGCCCTCTTGGCAGAATAGGAAAACAGAGCCAGCAGGGACACATGGAGGCCGGAAGAAGCTTGGGATGGATTTACAGGGGCCCCATGAGACCATCTGTACTAGGGTTTGAACCCAAGTCTAGATGGAAAAGTGATGAGAGAAGTTTGGGATTTATTTGGAAGCCTCAAATGCCAGGAAAAGTAGGGTAGGGAAAGAAATGACCAAGCCAAGAAGAAAGGCTGGGCCCAGCCTGCACTTAGGCCTGACCCAGTAATGTGCAATGGAGCACGAGGATGTTCTGACTTCCCTTCCCCGACCTAGCAGCCGGGCGTGTCTCTACTGCATTTCTGGCCATGAGGAGTATCCATACTCTTTCCTCTGGCTCTTCAGGGGTCCCAGGGTCACCAGCACTCGGTCACGTCCTGTTAAGGGCAGCCCAGCCCAGGGCGCGCCGCTCAGCCCCTCTCTCTGTCTCTAGGTGACCCTCATTCCCACGTTTGACTCCCTGGCCATGCACGAGTGGTACCAGGAGACCCACGGGAGACAGCAGGACCTCGGCATCACCGTGCTCGGCAGCAACAGCACCGTCGCCATGCAGGACGAGACCTTCCCTGCCTGCAAGGTGGAGTTCTAGCGCTTCCCTGTCCACCTGTGACCCTCCCCGGCCTCGTGCGTGCACGTGGGGGCACACACACCCCGCTACCCACAGGCACACACGTGTGTGCATACACACGGGCACACATGCAAACACACCTGGGTGCACACACACCACAGGCACACGTGTGTGCATACACATGGGCACACACACGAACACACCTGGGTGCACACACAATGGTACACGTGTGTGCATGCACACATGAGCACACATGGAAATGTCCACCTGGGTGTGCGCGCGCGCGCACACACACACACACACACACATACACACATTGGGGCACCACTGAGCCTCTGGCCAGAGGCATCACCCAACTCCACCTCCGTGGTGGTGGGCAAAGGAAAGTGGAACCTAGGTCCCAGGGTTAGGAGGGGCTCTAGAGAGGCCCCTAGCCCTCACCCACTCCTCCCCCCTCCAACCCTGCTCCCTCACATATCCAGATTGTCTGTCTGTCCAACTTCACTGACATAGCATTAAAAGGAGCTTCACTTCCTGCTCCACCCTCAGCCTGGCCTGGCTCCTTTCTGGGGATTGTAGAGAGGTGGGGCCATGAGGGGCAAAGGCCAGGTCTGGGGACTAGCTGCTGGGGGAGGGAGAGACCTAGGTCAGAGCCAGGAGGAACATGAGAATGTGGAATGTCAGAGCTAGGAGGGCCCTTAGAACACAGGGTGTCGGGGCTGGGAGGGCCCTT